GTGTTTTAGGATTTCACCAATTAGTAAGCCAAAACCTAACACATGGCCAAACTTCCCGTTCTTGATTTTTGCTCCCTTAACAAAGTGACATATTCTGCTCAACACCAACTTACTCCAATTTGCTCTAACACCAGTCATAATAGCATGCAAATAACCAATTCTTTTCGGAGTTATATCTTCCATACTATTTATTTTGCACTGAAGACACTTGTATATCACATTTATCAACATTTGATATTCCAGCTTCAAATCAGTTTTGTCTCCAGAAAGATTAGGTTCAACAGATGATTTTTCATTCCTAATTTATGTCCAGACCTCAGTTCGGTCATATACATGCATGTCTAAATCTAGCAAGGGTTGTTCCGGGGTAGACATAGGCATTCCAAAGGTTGAAAATAACTCATTTTCTCCAATGGAGATAGGAGTTCCATTAACAGTGGACTCAATGGTCCAACCGTTTACCTTGGCATTGACATAGAAGCCGGCTACATCCTCACTATAATATCCATAGTAGGAATAGGAACATAACCTCATTAGACCATTGTTCTGTATTGCATGGATGATCCTTTGGGCAAGCTCCGAATTTTTGGCATTTTTGAGAAATCCAGTAGGGTCGAAGCTTCCTCCGGCTTTGACATTGGTGGCCAACTTGGTGAGATTAATCTGCACGGGTTGTTCTTCATGGACTTGTGAACTTGATTGTCCGATTGTTGCCATTGTAAAGTTGAGGATTGATGAAGATTGAGAGATGTAAAAATTTTAGGATGGTTCGGCTATGGAAGATGAAGAGTTTTGAAGGTGTTTGGAAAGGTTGTAAAGTGGAGAAGATGATAACCTTTGACCTTTTGACCGGTTTGAGTGGAATGGGTGTTTTACGAAGAGGTCCTTCACTTATGGTTTAGGGCTTCTAAGTGTTGAGGGGTATTTTTGGAATTCCACTCGTTGACATACTAATTGTCAGTCTAGGTTTTATATTCTCCATTCGGTTTGTCTGCTGTGGCGCCAAATTTAGAAGTATAGAATCATTTTTGACCTGCCACATAAAAAAAAATAGTACTAAGTCTATTCCAATAACAACAACAACAACAACAACAACAACAATAATAATAATAATAATAATAATAATAATAATAATAATAATAATAATAATAAAATAATAAAAAAAGATAATAATAATAATAATAAAGATAGTGGCCGAAAAAAAATATTGATAGACAACTAAATAAATGTGATGAAGTAAATGCTCTCAACTACCATAACTAGATACTCTTATTTAAGCTAATAAGCAATCATCACAACTATCTTGTCACACATAAATAAGGTAGATATTGCATGTAAGGAAATCTTATAAAATTTATATACACACGGTTAAAGAGAAAGGTATTTATGCAAAGAAAATAAAAATAAAAACGTAGTATTTAAGACAAATTTTCCTAGATACTAGGAAGTGACATTTTGGTGCATGTTGGACACATAGGCAATTAAAAAAAATTGTGACCGAAAAAAAATTGATACATATAAGAACATTTAATAAAAAATTGTGCTTATAGTTAAATGAGATTTAGTGACTTAGCTCAGTTCGATCATGCCCATCTCGTGTCTTAATTTTGCAAACCTTGATTCGCATAAGGGTTTGTAAGAATATCAGCTGTTTGATTTTCCGTTGGAATATATTCTATCCTCAGATTCTTCTTTTCGATGTGATCACGGATAAAATGATGTCTCACGTCAATGTGCTTAGTTCTTGAATGTAGCACGGGATTTTGAGTGATTGCGATAGCACTTGTATTATCACAAAATATGCTAACATCTTCGCAATTTACACCATAATATTTTAATTGATGCTTCATCCAAAGAATTTGTGCACAACAACTCCCAGCTGCTATATATTCAGCTTCAGCGGTGCTTGTAGCTATGGAGTTTTGCTTTTTGTTAAACCAAGATACCAATCTTCCCCCTAAGAACTGGCATGTCCCTGAGGTACTTTTTCGATCGATTTTACACCCTGCAAAATCTGCATCTGAAAAACCAGTTAGTGTAAAATTACCTTCTTTGGGATACCATAATCCCACATTGACTGTTCCTTTTAGGTATCGAATGATTTTCTTGGTGGCAAGAAAATGACTTTCTTTCGGATTTGATTAGAACCTAGCACATACTCCCACTGAGTAAGATATATCTGGTCGACTTGCAGTGAGGTATAGTAATGATCCAATCATTCCTTGATATTTCGTTTCGTTAACGTCCTTGCCTTCATCATCTTTATCCAATCTTAAAGACGTGCTCATCGGGATCTTGATTGAGGATTTTCCATCTTGACCAAATTTCTTTATAAGATCTTTTGTGTATTTGGCTTGATTGATGAATATTCCATCGTTGAGTTGCTTTACTTATAAACCAAGAAAGTAGTTCAACTGTCCCATCATGCTCATCTCAAACCTATTCTGCATGAGCTCGAAACCGGGTGGTTGTTCAACGTAGACTTCCTCTTCAAGTAAGCCATTTAAAAATGCACTTTTCACGTCCATTTGGTAGACCGTGAAGTTCTTGTACGTGGCATAAGCTAGAAATATTCTGATGGCTTCAAGTCTTGCAACGGGTGCAAATGTTTCGTCGAAGTCTATTCCTTCTTCTTGTGAATATCCTTTAGCCACTAATCTTGCTTTATTTCGAACAACAATTTCTTCTTCATTCGCTTTGTTCCGAAAGACCCATTTTGTTCCAATTACGTTGTAATTTTCGGGTCTTGGAACTAATTCCCATACATCATTTCTTTTAAATTGATCTAGCTCTTCTTGCATTGCATTAATCCAGTCCGGGTCATTTAGGGCTTCTTCAATACTTGTGGGTTCCACCTGCGAAAGAAAACAAGAAAATAAAGCATCTATATTTGAGGATCTTGCTTTTACTCCTTTTCGTGGATCTCCAATTACTAGCTCCGGAGGGTGATTTTTGAGCCATCTCAAGTCAGGTTGTAGATTGCATGGATTTTCCACGTTTCCTTATTCAGTAGGTAAGTTGGAGGTAGACTCATTTTGCTCATCAGATTGTTCTCCAACTTGCACTTTTGCTTGAGAGTTTTGTATTTTCATGTGTGGTTCTTCATTTACTTCCACGTGACCTTCACTGTTGCAATCAATGTCCAATTGCTCTATTACCTGTACAACATTATCTTTAAAAGATATGTCAGCATCATTAAATGATTTTTCAACATGACATCTTTCCTGATCATTTTTGTTGCTTTAGGTTTCCTCCTTGTGGACTTCATCAAATGTAACATGAATTGATTCTTCTACCACCATTGACTTTTTGTTGAATACTCTGAAGGCTTTGCTGGTAGATGAATATCCCAAAAATATTCCTTCATCTCCACGCTCATCAAAAGTCTTTAGATATGTTTTACCATTATTAAGAATAAAGCATTTGATACCAAAAGTATGAAAATAGTTGAGTTTAGGTTTTCTCCCTTTCCATAACTCGTACAGAGTCTTATTGTAAGACTTGTGTATCAAGTTTTGATTTAGCGTGTAGCATGCGGTGTTGATTGCTTCAGCACAATATCTTTTAGGTAGCTCGGCTGACGTAATCATCACACGTGCGACTTCTTTTAGCGTTCTATTTCTTCTTTCGGCTACACCATTTTTTTGTGGTGTACGTGCGACAGATAATTAATGTAGAATTCCATGAGAATTTCACTAGGCTTGGATCACTTGATTCACGAACCCAGTTCCACGATCCGTTTGAATTTTTTCAATTTTCAAGTCTTTCTCGTTTTGTAGTAACTTAAGTAGTTCTGGCAACTTTTGCTCCACTTCATTTTTCTTTTTGAGAAATATCGTCCATGTGTACCTAGAAAAATTATCAACAACAACTAGTGTATATTTCTTACCACTTAGACTTACTGGGTTTACTGGACCGAATAGATCCATGTGTAGTAGACTTAGCGGTCTTGTTGTAGATTCTTGAGTCTTGGACTTGAATGATGACTTGATTTGTTTTCCTCTTTGGAAAGCATCACATATTTGATCTTTCTGGTAGACAATGATTCAACTTTCTGTGCCATTCCCAACTTGTAGCGTGTGAGTTGTTTGCTAGTAGACATACTGATTCTTTTGTCGTGTTCCAATCAACCACATACATATTTTTCTTCCTTATTCCTTCGAGCACAACTTCTCCCAAGGAATCTGATAGGAATATTTTTGTAAGTTTTGATGAAGCCAAATGTACTTTAGATCCCCTCAGTTTTTAGGTCTTTGAGTACAAGCATCATAAATCAGAATAGCGAATCAAAAGGAATCTGCCATAGGAAGAACAAAATTAATTTGAGAAATTAATTTTGGTCCTACGAGTATTCATTCGAGAAAAAAACATAATGGAATGGCATTGCAAAGAGTGACTGGATGAGCCTAACTGTGAAATGGTAGAACTCCTTAATTAAAACGATCACACTCGAGATCGATTCCCCCCCCCCCCCCTCAAGGATTTATTGATTTTTACAAATCAAGTTTTCGGACAAGCACAATGTATCAAAAGGAGCACAATGTATCAAAAGGAGCACGATATGTGCTGACAAGCACAATGTTCTAAAGGAGCAAAATGTTCTACAGGAGCACAATGTGAACAAGCACGATGCGTCCAAAGGAGCACAATGTGAACAAATCAGAAAAACACAATGTTCAAGTCAAGGAGCACGATGCTCAAGTCAAAGGAGCACAATGTGGCAAAGAAGCAAGATGATCAGAAATTGGACAAATTCGAAGGAATTTATTCTAAGTCTACCCACATGCCACAAGAAGCCAAAATTGCCTGAAAGACATTTGATCAGAACGGAAAAATATCTATGAAAGAAATGAATATAAAAACTTATCCTAGAAATAAATTCTATTAGATGAATTTATTTCAAAGATACGTTGGATATTCAATATGACAACAAAATAATATTTTGAACAAATCAATTCGAGATAAGATATTATCTTGTCAGGCAAGTTGACAATCAAATAAAAATTGAAGACCTACTATTGTCAACAATATCAGGCTATGAAGATTCAAATTTCAAATATCAAATTATCCCACTCCAACGGATATATTTGATTGCCTATAAAAAGCCATGAAGACTTGAAGACAGCAGCAGAGGTGCACAAGATAGACATGAGATAGAAGTGCAATACACACGAAAATTTAAAAGTGCAAGTGCTCAAATATTCTTAGAGACTTAGTCTGAATAGTCTCAAAAATCTAGTTGGAGAGAGATACAATTACCTTTGTATTTGTAATTGTAAAAAGAGTATAGCTGTGTGCAAAATACTCTAGTGAGTGTAGCTGTGTGCAAAACACTCGTAGTTGCTAAGTGTAGCTATGTGCAAGACACTTAGTTGGCGTTGAGTATAGCTGTGTGCGAAATACTCGGAGTTGAGTGTAGCTGTGTGCGAGACACTCGGAGTTGAGTGTAGCTGTGTGCGAGACACTCGGAGTTGGGTGTAGCTGTGTGCAAAATATTCGGAATAAGTGCCTGTGTAGCACTTGTTCACTATTGTAACTGTGTGTGGAAAATAGTGAATTTCTCCTAGACGCGAAAGGAGAAAAGTGGACTAGGAAGATTACGCCACTTCCGAACCACTATAAATTGCCTCTCTCATTTACATACCGCACTTACATTATTTGCTATATCTATCTATCTCATCCGACTAACCCGTTTACTATTCACGATTAATCTTCATCATCCGGGTTTAGTGTGTTCTCACGTATGCATGTGACTCAAACTTCTCGAGCTTAAATATTGAATTATTCTAAGCAAGTTTGACGTGTTGCATGTAACATTCGTTACACGGTCGACGTGATACGATATTTATTTACAATCTTGAATATTGTTATTATATATTGAGTGAACCATCTCCTTTATATATTCAAGATACCTTTGTTACTTTATTCTATCTTACATGCGTATTTAATTCATTAATTGGGCATAACTCTTTACATACTACCTATTCCGCTGTGCAGTTTAAACTTACTCTATTTACTTGATATTTAGAGTTGAAGTTACGAAAGAGTTATTTATTTTGAAAAAGCTTGAAAGTCTATTCACCGCCCCCCCCCCCCCCTCTAGACTTTCACCACCCTATCGGGACCAACAATTGGTATCAGAGCGGTTGTCTATTTGAGTCAACTTTGACTGCTAGACAGATCTCAAAAAATCAAGATGATGAAAAGAGATATGGCTCTTGCCCAAAATTTATTGTTTTCCTTAGAGAAATTTGATGATTGGAAAATTCGCATGCAGGTACATTTATCCGCATTACACGATGAAATGTGGGAAGTAGTTACGAGTGGTCCTATTGAAATTTTACAAGTCAACACCTCATCCATACAAACAAGTGACACTCCACAATACATTCCAAAACCAAAAGCGGAATGGTCTCGTGAAGATATAACAAGAAATAACTTGGACAATATTGCCAAGGATATTTTGTTTAAATCTATCGATGACACGATATTTCCAAAAGTTCGAAAGTGTCAATCCGCGAAGGAAGTTTGGGAAATGCTCATTCAAATTGGTGAAGGAGACGAGCAAGAAAAGGATAATAAGCTCACTATAGCATTAAAGAAATTCGAGGATTTCAAAATGCTAAACGACGAGAATATTACCGACATGGAAACAAGATTTGCCAAAATCTTAGGAGAGATTAATGATCTTGGAAAAGATATTAATCAAAAAGAAATTTCACTCAAAATTCTACGTGGTCTACCATCTACATGGGATATGAAGGTCATGGCCATGAGATATCATAGGGATTTAAAAACCCTATCGACCGATAAGCTCTTTAGTGATTTAAAAGCTTATGAATTTGAGATGAAATCAAGATTAGAGGAAGATCATGAAGAAAAGAAAAATGCACTTGTAGCCGAGCAACCATCATCCTCAAGGTCAGTACAAAATGTTGAATTATTGCCTAATGATCAATTTGCTCTCTTTGTCAAAAAATTTAGGAAATTCATGAAGAGAAGCAACTACAAGAAAAATCCACAAGGGAAATCGTGGAACGCAGCAAAGAATTCGAAGAAAGAAATTGTTGAGGAAGATTCGAATTTATGCTACAATTGTAGAAAGCCTGGACACTTTGCAGCAAGTTGTCCACACCCTAAGGTAAGTAAAAGTCAATATACAAATGTTTCTAACTCTCAACAGGAAGAATTCAAGCCCAAAGATAAAAGGTTCACAAAGGAGAGAAGAAAAGCACTTATTAGTGACCCACTTGAAATAAGTGAGTCAGAAGAATCTTCAAGTGATGAAAGTGACACCTCAAAGGATGACAATGCAATGTTTTGTCTGAGCATCTCCAACAATTCACCCTACGAGGACATGTGTCTTATGGCAAATGGAAATGAAGAAAATGAGGTAACATCTTACTCTTATGATTCTGTCAATTCTTCATTTTCTAGAGAGTCCTTCTTTCGCTTAATGGAAGAATGTCAAACCGTAATGGACACTCACTCTCAACTCAAAGAGCGCAATTGTCTTTTGATTCTCGAAAAAGATCAAATAAATGAGAAATTGCAAAATGCTCTACTTGAAGTGAAAGACTTGAAAGATAAAATTATTTGTCTTCAAGAAGAGTGTAAATCAAGGGAAGTGAGAGAACACAACCTTAGAGAGGTTACAGCAACATTTACACATTCATCCAAAATAATGGACAAAATGGTAAATATGCAAAAACCCTCAAGTGATAAAACCGGACTCGGTTATGATCCATCGTGTTCTCAAGCCTCCAAGAACTTGGCCAATTCTACTACTACTTTAAGTAATAAAGTCCAAGTAGTAAAATTTGTAAAAGGTCAAGAAAGCACAGTGAGACAAGGAATTGGTTACCAAACGAATGTCAAAATTAATACTGTTAGGCCGAAGCCCCAAAGAAACATTATTTCGCCTAAACAGTATACAAAAAGGCAAAATTTTGTTCCTAAATGGAAACACACCAATGAGTCTAGTGCACAAAGCCCTCATAGGAAAATGGGAAGGAATCCAAGAATTGAGGCAGGGAGATTTTATCCCTCAAAACAAGGTTGGGTTGGTTATATTAAACCATGGACTAAGTCCAGATTTAATGCCTATCCTAGGCCCAAACAGTCTTCTCCCCATGTGCCAAAGAATCGAGTAAATTTTCAAAAACCGGCACAAAAATTATTTTAAAAAATTAAATATGATTATAATGTGTTCAATGGTTACCAATCACCTAAACTTAGATCAGTGAGTACAAGGTGGATTTGGGTAACAAAAATGACTAACACCCAAGGACCCAAATCAAGTTGGGTACCTAAAAATGTTTAATTTGTTTGCAGGAAGTTTGGTACGTCGATAGTGGATGTTCTAGACACATGACTGGAAATAAATCTAGTCTTGTGAATCTTAAAAATATCGAAGGACCAAAAGTCGTATTCGGTGGAAATGAACGATACGGCATAACAAAAGGAATTGTTACAATTTTTCGAAATGGTTTGAAAATCGAAGATGTATCCTTTGTTGAAGGTCTAAAATTCAACTTGTTGAGTACAAGTCAATTTTGTGACAAAGGATATCTAGTTGAGTTCTTCAAAGACAAGTGCCAAGTGAAGAATAATTCCTCAGGAGAAGTTGTGCTCGAAGGAATAAGGAAGAAAAATATGTATGTTGTGGATTGGAACACAACAAAAGAATCAGTGTGTCTACTAGCAAACAACTCACACGCAACAAGTTGGGAATGGACAAGAAGTTGAATCATCTAAACTTCAAGACAATCAACAAGCTAGCAAGAAACAAACTCGTTGAAGGTTTACCCGACATTGTCTACAAGAAAGATCAAATATGTGATGCTTGCCAAAGAGGAAAGCAAATCAAGTCATCTTTCAAATCCAAAGCCCAAGAATCTACAACAAGACCTCTAAGTCTACTACACATGGATCTATTCGGTCCAGTAGACCCAGTAAGTCTAAGTGGTAAGAAATATACACTAGTTGTTGTTGATGATTTTTCCAGGTACACATGGACGATATTTCTCAAAAAAAAATGAAGTAGATCAAAAGCTGCCAGAACTACTCAAGCTACTACAAAACGAGAAAGACTTGAAAATTGCAAAAATCCGAACTGATCGAGGAACAGAGTTCGTGAATCAAGTAATTAAAGTCTACTGCAATTCTCAAGGAATTCTACATCAATTATCTGCCGCACGCACACCGCAACAAAATGGTGTAGCCGAAAGAAGAAATAGAACGCTAAAAGAAGCCGCACGAGTGATGATTACGTCAGCCGAGCTACCTAAAAGATATTGGGCTGAAGCAATCAACACCGCTTGCTATACGCAAAATCGAAGCTTGATACACAAGTCTTACAATAAGACTCCGTACGAATTATGGAAAGGGAGAAAACCTAAACTTAATTATTTTCATACTTTTGGCATCCAATGTTTTATTCTTAATAATGGTAAAACATATCTAAAGACTTTTGATGAGCGTGCAGATGAAGGAATATTTTTGGGATATTCATCTACCAGCAAAGCATTCAGAGTATTGAACAAGAAATCAATGGTGGTAGAAGAATCAATTCATGTTACATTTGATGAAGCTCATAAGAAGAAAACCCAGAGCAACAAAAATGATCAGGAAAGTTGTCAAGTTGAAAAGCCATTTAATGATACTGACATATCTTTCAAAGATCAAATTATACAGGGTATGGAGCAATTGGACATTGATTGCAATAGTGAAGGACACGTGGAAGTCAATGAAGATCCCCGCGTGGAAAGTCAAAATTCTCAAGTTGAAACACAAGTTGGAGATCAATCTGATGAGCAAAATGTGTCTACCTCCAACTTATCTACTGAGCAAGGAAACGTGGAAAGCCCATGCAACCTACAATCTGACTTGAGATGGCTCAAAAATCACCCTCCAGAGCTAGTGATTGGAGATCCACGAGAAGGAGTAAAAACAAGGTCCTCAAATATACATACTTTATTTTCTTGTTTTCTTTCTCAGGTGGAGCCCACAAGCATTGAAGAAGCTCTAAGTGATCCTGATTGGATTAATGCAATGCAAGAAGAGCTCGATCAATTTAAAAGAAGTGACGTATGGGAATTAGTTCCAAGACCTGAAAATTACAATGTAATTGGAACAAAATGGGTCTTTCGGAATAAAGCAAATGAGGATGGAACTGTCATACGAAATAAAGCACGTTTAGTGGCAAAAGAATATTCACAAGAAGAAGGCATAGACTTCGATGAAACGTTTGCACCCGTTGCAAGACTGGAAGCCATCAGAATATTTCTAGCATATGCCGCGTACAAGAATTTCACTGTCTATCAAATGGACATGAAAAGTGCATTTTTGAAACGGCTTACTTGAAGAAGAAGTCTACGTTGAGCAACCTCCCGGTTTCGAGGTAAAAGGTGATATTAATAAGGTCTACAGATTAAAGAAGGCGTTATATGGGTTAAAACAAGCACCGAGAGCTTGGTATGACACTCTATCAACGTTCCTAATTAACTGTGGTTTTACAAAAGGCCTTGTTGATAAAACCTTGTTTAGAATTCAAGAAAATGATCACATTTTATTGGTACAAATTTATGTCGATGATATTATATTTAGTAGTACTAATAAAACTTTATGTGAGAAATTTTCCAAGCTAATGCAGAATAAGTTCGAGATGAGCATGATGGGAGAGTTGAACTACTTTCTTGGATTACAAGTAAAGCAACTCAATGAAGGAATATTCATCAATCAGGCTAAATACACGAAAGATCTTATAAAGAAATTCGGTCAAGATGGAAAATCCTCAATCAAGATCCCAATGAGCACATCTTTAAGATTGGATAAAGATGATGAAGGCAAGGACGTTGACGAAACAAAATATCGAGGAATGATTGGATCATTACTATACCTCACTGCAAGCCGACCAGATATATCTTATTCAGTGGGAGTATGTGCCAGGTTCCAGTCAAAGCCAAAAGAAAGTCATTTTCTTGCTACTAAGAAAATCATCCGATACCTAAAAGGAACAGTCAATGTGGGATTATGGTATCCCAAAGAAGGTAATTTTACACTAACCGGTTTCTCAGATGCAGATTTTGCAGGATGTAAAATCGATCGAAAAAGTACCTCAGGGACATGCCAGTTCTTAGGGGGAAGATTGGTATCATGGTTTAGCAAAAAGCAAAACTCCATAGCCACGAGTACAGCCGAAGCTGAATATATAGCTGCTGGGAGTTGTTGCGCGCAAATTCTTTGGATGAAACAATAGCTGAAAGATTATGGCGTGAATTGTGAAAATGTCAACATAATGTGTGACAATACAAGTGCCATAGCTATAACTCACAATCCCGTGTTACATTCAAGAACAAAACACATTGATGTGAGACATCATTTTATCCGGGATCATGTTGAAAAGAAGGAATTATCAATCGAATACATCCCTACCGAGAATCAATTAGCTGATATTCTCACAAAGCCTCTATGTGAATCAAGATTTTCGAAATTAAGACACGAGATGGGCATGATTGAATTGAGCTAAGTTTCTAAACTTTATTTATATTATAAGCTCAATTTTTCATCTGAAATTTTGTTACTTCATCTGATAGATTATTTTCGTGCCTATGTGTCACACATGCAAAAGATGTCACATCTTTATATTTAAGTCTATCTATCTCAATTAAATGTGATAAAGCACATAATGCTTGCATGTCTCTTCTATCGTGTATCAATATTTTTATATACATATATATACACAAATAAATTTAGATCTACACAATCTTACCATTTAAGAGTGACAAGATAGTATGATGATGGTTTCTATCTTAAATGAGAACACTTTTTTATGGTAGTTGTATATAATAAATTGTCTAGAAAGAATCAATTTTCTTTTTCTTTCTCCAAACTACATAAAAACGTGTAGATATGCATATATTGTTTTTGGAACAGATTTAGTGCTCTATGAATTTTATTTCAGGTAAAATCAGTCCGAGTATCTAAATTTTTGGCGCCACATCAGCAGACAAATTGGATGGAGAATAAATAACCTAAACCAACTATTAGTTAGGTCAAAGGTTGGAAGCTATTGGAATATCAAAAATACCCCTCACTTATTTAAAAGTAAACATTTAATTGTGAGGATATTTGTGTAAAGATACCTTCCTTCCACCCAACCGGTTGGAAGAGCCACTATTACACTCAAAACTCTCAAAATCCTTTCATCTTCCATAGCCGAAACACTCAATCTTCATCCCTTTCAAAATCTTCAATCCCTCAATCTCTAAAAATACCAAGCACATTATGGCTACCATTGGAGATTCAAGTTCTCAACCGAATGAAGAACACTCTACACAACTCAACCTCACGAAGCTAGCAGTTGGAATCAAGGCCGGAGGAAGTTTTGACCCTCAAGGATTTCTTAAAGAAGCCGAGAACTCACATCTTGCACAAAGAATCATCCATGCACTTCAACAAAGTAATTTCATGAGGTTATGTTCTTATCCATACTCAGGATTTTATGATGAAGATGTAGCAGATTTTTATGTGAATGCCAAGGTTGTTGGATGGACCATTGAGTCGACCGTGAATGGAACTCTCATCACCATTGATGAACAAGAGTTGCACACAACCTTTGGACTGCCTATATCTAGTCCAGAACAACCACTGTTGGACTTAGATGTTCACACATATGATCACACGGAAATTTGGACAGAAATTCGAAATGAGAATGCTTCTCTCGAACCAAATCTTTCCGGTCAAAAATCTGATTTGAAGTTTGAGTATGAGATGCTAGTTAAAATCCTCTATAAATGTGTATTGTGCAAATTGAATAGTATGGAGGATATATCACCCGTGAGAATTGGATATTTGCATGCTGTGATGAATGGTGTTAGGGGTGAATGGAGTAAGCTTATCTTGAGCCGGATTGCACATTTTGTGAAAGGTGCGAAAATTAGGAATGGCAAGTTCAACCGCATCCTAGGGTTCGGGTTGCTTATTGGAGAAATTATAAAAATGAAAGGGTTACCAATGAGATCAAGAAAGCCTTTTGGAAGTAACCGAATTTTGTTTAAGGATCATGAAGTATCAACTGATTTGACCTCCAAGAGAAAAAGGAAACCGAGAGGCATTCCTACTAGGAAAAGGCCAGTTGTAGAAATTCTTGGTTTATCTTCTCAACCCTCAACTCAATCCCATGAAAACCCTACCTCAAGCCAAAATCCAAACACAACCCAAAATCCAACCATAAGTCACAATCCCAATACAAGCCAAAGTTTATTGAATCCCTTTTCCCAAATTGCCGAAATAGAGTCAATGATGAATGAGGAGATTTATCAAGTTGATGGACTTGATTTGGTCTTGGTGAATGAATACCGAAGAGTCCTAAATTGGAGAAAATGGAGACTTGGTTCTTATCAAGATTTGATGACAAAGGGACCGAGTATGCAAGAAGAAGAATTATTTTCCTTGAATTGGATTGGTAATTTTGATGTTGGCCATGCAACTTTGATGTCTACGGTGAATGGGACATTTGTGAATAAATTGAAAGCTAAGTTGGCCGAGACTACTCTTGATGGCACAGTCCAAGGAGATATGCCTACCCAAGATGATTTCCTAGTTGATATTGATGAATTTGTCACAAGGAATGTAGAAGAAGTAAATGTCACATGTGGTGCACATTTAATGGACAGTGGCTTATATGATGTGAGTATCTTGAACTTCACTGAAATAAGTCAAGATCAAAATGCCATGCAAGCTAGCCAACACACGGAGGAAATTCAATCCATTCATGCAGAAAGTGCATAAGGTGACACGCACGTGTTACACACACCGGAAAGATAAGGATATCAAGTGGAAAATCAAGCACAATCTCACATGCTTGAAGTCAATTCTGCTCAAGAAGGAGCAAGGAAGGTGTGTTCCCACAACCCGAGAAGAGCAAGACATTGATGGCAGAACCTCAAAAGAAAAATTGGAAAATCTGGAGAAAGTTGTACTAAACCTTGTTGACCGAATGGAAAGCATGTTTCAAGGCATCTACACTCATGTGGATCATGTTGTCAATACTTAAGGTGGAAAATTCGAAACATCTTTTGATGAAAATCGGAGGAGTCAACAACATTTGATCGACACCCACCAAGCACTTGAGAGACAAGTTGGAGGATTGAATGCAAATGTCAAGGGGCAACTCAATGAGTTCTACATCCAACTCTCTCAAATCCTCAAGAATTCTGGAAAGGCAAATGAAGCAATTGCCGTGAGTCAAAGCCAAGGAATTCTCAATGTTGTTCATCAACATGAGAAGCAGATTAGTGATGTCCACACGGATCTCATCTCCGTCAACACCAAAGTAGGCTGTCTTCGAGGATCATATGAAAATATTTCCGAATCCATTTCATCTCTTCGTGAATCGGTTCAAACACTCCTTGATTACGCCAAAAAAGGGGTAAGAGAGATTCAGTCATTTGGAAGGCATGCTTGAGATGATGATGACTGACATGGCCACCCGAAATGTTGGCACAAGCAGTAGTAGAGGTGGAGGAGGCAGATTTGCTGGCAGAAATGTTGCTAGAAGAGGAGGATTAGAATATTGGTTCGGTGGTGGTGAGGCTGGCAGTCCAGGAGGATCAAGCAGCGCAAATACCACTAACCGTTCTTTTCGTGACATTGTTTGTGCAGGAGGAAATGTTGAGCAAATTAATTGGTATAACCGTGCAGCTCTCTATTTGGAATCCACACCAAGAGATGGTAGAGTTGAAATGCCAAAGTTGGTAACTTTGAATGATCTACCAAAGGGAATGAAGAAGAGTGGTCCAAGTGATCAAAATTTATGGGTTTCGAATGAGAATTTCAGGAGAATCCAAAGCTATGCTAGAGCTTTGATGATCATGGTTCTAAAGGACTATATCAAAGTCAATGATGCCGAGCTACAAAATGGAAGAAGTCTAGAAGAGTGCATCATATGGTATGAAGAAAGTATACTGCCCGGAAGCAACATCATTGAAGCATTCAACTACTATTCAGTTGGGCAGGTATGCAACAATTATGCCATTAGTGACAATTTCATTGATGTTCAAAATCATATAAATCATGTGCTTAAAGAGAGGAGAAACAAAGTAATTAGATGATTTGTATGATTGTCACATTTGTTTTTGTACGGTCCACGAGAACATGAACCCATGAACAATTTGGAACAATTTGGAATGATTCGAATTATCTGTTTATGATGCTACTAGTTTTCCTTGTTATTTATTGATATTTTATTTGTCTTGAAAGGTAACATTTTTAGCTTAGTTTGTATCAAATCGCATAAATTGGAAAAATGCAAAAATTCATTATTATTAAAGTCCAAAAATGCGAATAGGAATTTTAGTTGCTAAAAATACCTTTCTTAGAGTCAAAATCAAATGTTAAACTCGTCTTGGCTATGTCGAAGTTAATAAAATCTTTTGAAAAATAATTGTTTTTAAAAGACAAGCCAAATGACTGAGTATAGGTTTTGGCGTCATCAAAAAGGGGGAAAATTGATAAGAATATTTTTGTAAATTTTGATGAAGCCAAATGTACTTTAGATCCCCTCAGTTTTTAGGTCTTTGAGTACAAGCATCATAAATCAGAATAGCGAATCAAAAGGAATCTACCATACGAAGAACAAAATTAATTTGAGAAATTAATTATGGTCCTACGAGTATTCATCCGAGAAAGAAGCATAAAGGAATGGCGTTGCAAAGAATAATTGGATGAGCCTAACGGCGAAATGGTAGAAGTCCTTAATAAAAACAATCACACCCAAGATCGATTCCCCCCCCCCCCCAAGGATTAAATTTTTACAAATCATGTTTTCGGACAAGCACAATGTATCAAAAGGAGCACGATGTGTGCTGACAAGCACAATGTGTGCTAAGGAGTACAATGTATCAAAAGGAGCACAATGTTCTAAAGGAAAGGAGCAAAATGTTCTACAGGAGCACAATGTGAACAAGCACGATGCGTCCAAAGGAGCACAATGTGACCAAATCAGAAAAGCACAATGTTCAAGTCAAGGAGTACGATGCTCAAGTCAAAGGAGCACAATGTGGCAAAGAAGCAAGATGATCAGAAATTGGACAAATTCGAAGGAATTTATTCTAAGTCTACCCACATGCCACAAGAAGCCAAAATTGCCTGAAAGACATTTGATCAGAACGGAAAAATATCTATGAAAGAAATGAATATAAAAACTTATCCTAGAAATAAATTCTATCAGATGAATTTATTTCAAAGATACGTTGGATATTCAATATGACAACAAAATAATATTTTGAACAAATCAATTGGAGATAAGATATTATCTTGTCAGGCAAGTTGACAATCAAATAAAAATTGAAGACCTACTATTGTCAACAATATCAGGCTATGAAGATTCAAATTTCAAATATCAAATTATCCCACTCCAACGGATATATTTGATTGCCTATAAAAAGCCATGAAGACTTGAAGACAGCAGCAGAGGTGCACAAGATATACACGAGATAGAAGTGCAATACACACGAAAATTTAAAAGTGCAAGTGCTCAAATATTCTTAGAGACTTAGTCTGAATAGTCTCAAAAATCTAGTTGGAGAGAGATGCAATTACCTTTGTATTTGTAATTGTAAAAAGAGTATAGCTGTGTGCAAAATACTCTAGTGAGTGTAGCTGTGTGCAAAACACTCGTAGTTGCTAAGTGTAGCTGTGTGCAAGACACTTAGTTGGCGTTGAGTATAGCTGTGTGCGAAATACTCGGAGTTGAGTGTAGCTGTGTGTGAGACACTCGGAGTTGGGTGTAGCTGTGTGGAAAACATCCGGAAGAAGTGCCTGTGTAGCACTTATTCACTATTGTAACTGTGTGTGGAAAATAGTGAATTTCTCCTAGACGCGAAAGGAGAAAAGTGGACTAGGAAGATTACGCCACTTCCGAACCACTATAAATTTCCTCTCTCATTTACATACCGCACTTACATAATTTGCTCTATCTATTTATCTTATCCGACTAACCCGTTTACTATTCACAATCAATTTAAATCGTTCGGGTTCAGTGTGTTTTCACGTATGCATGTGACTCAAACTTCTCGAGCTTAAATATTGAATTATACTAAGCAAGTTTGACGTGTTGCATGTAACATTCGTTACACGGTCGACGTGATACGATATTTATTTACAATCTTGAATATTGTTATTATATATT